CCATCGTTCCTCGCCATCACAGATTGTGACAGAAGAACCGACCAATAACAGTTACCTCCGTGTTTTTCCCTCTGTTTGTTTTCTCGTTTTTCTCTGTGTTTTTGTTTCCGTTGTGTTTCCCTCATGGATGCCCTCCTTCGCCCGGAATTTCTCCTCCTCCTGCTGGAGCAATGGGAGAGATCGCTCGAGGACCATACGAGACTGTTCCAGCTGAACAGCTACCCGGACAACGCGCTCTGTGCATTCTATGACGCCCGTCTAAACATCGAGTGCAGAGCGCCGTCATCCGAAGATGGTCCTCGAGCGGATTTCACCGCCTTTGTGGAGTGGATACTGGCGAGAAACGGATCCCCGCTCACCGTCAGTTCCGAGGAGAATCTCGCCAGTACCACTCCCGACCCAGAGCCCAGCCCACTATCTCCCCGCTGTGCGGAGCTTAAGCCCGAGCCCACCGATGACGGAGAGCCAATTCCCGCGGCGAAAGTGCCAAAGCGAAGAGGAGAGGGCTCCAGTCCCCGAATCCAGTCCAGAGCGCCCTCCAGTGCCCGCTCCAAGAAAGCGCCCTCCAGTGCCAGCTCCTCGTAAGCGCCGAGCCGAAAGCCGAGTCCCACACTCTCTCGCTCGCTCAGAACCAGTAATCTACAGCTCACCGTGACCCCTAACAGCCGGCTCTCCAGACGCGGGAAATGAATTGTGGCGCCCGATCAGAGACGATATCCTCGGGGATTCCAAAGTTTCTGAAGACATGAGTAAACAGACTTTCAAGTGCAGTGGGCAATCCCTTAAAGGGAAATAGTTTGCAGGCCTTCGAGAAACGATCTACTGCCACTTGGACACAGGTGTTGTTATCAGACTTGGGGAGGTCTGTCACGAACTCAATCCCAATAGGGAATTAGTTTGCAGGCCTTCGAGAAACGATCTACTGCCACTAGGACACAGGTGTTGTTATCAGACTTGGGGAGGTCTATCACGAACTCAATCCCAATGTGTGACCATGGCCGGCGTGGTATGGGTAGGTGGCACGAGCTTGCCTACTGGGAGGTGACGAGGAGTCTTGGACATGGCAGAGACTGAGCAACTCAGAACGTACCTGATAGCATCACGGGACATACTGGGCCACCAGTACCGAGCTTGGAGGAGCGAGAGGGTCCGTTGGCTGCCTGGATGTCCAGAGCCCGGTGCGTTGTGAACTGAGCCCAGAAGGGACTGACGTTGGGAGATGGGAACATATGTTTTCCCCTCTGGGCCTCCCAGCGGAGTGGGTTCAGTTTGAGTGGCGGCTCTGATGTCCTCGTTGATGTTCCACTGTATCGGACTAACAATCAGGGCTGGAGGGAGAATTGGTTCTGGGTCAGAAGGTGAGTCGGGGGAATGCAAGCGTGACAGGGCGTCTGCTTTACAGTTGCGATTTCCAGGATGGTAGGTAATGGTAAAGTTGAACCGGGTGAAGAACAAAGCCCAGCGGGCTTGGCGAGGATTGAGCGTTTTGGTGTCTCTGAGATATTGGAGGTTCTTGTGATCAGTTATGATGGTAAATGGGTGGTTGGCTCCCTCCAGCAAATGCCGCCACTCTTCCAGGGCAAGCTTGATGGCAAGTAGCTCCCTGTTTTCGATATCATAATTCTGCTCCGCTGGGGTCAGTTTCTTGGAGTAGTATGCGCAAACCTGGAGGTGTGGAGGCTCACCAAATAGTTGGGATAGCACGGCCCCGACTCCGGTGGTGGACGCATCCACTTCTACCTCGAACGGAACGTGGGGATCTAGATGGCGAATGATGGGGGCCGTGCTGAAGGCTGTCTTGAGTCCTTCAAAGGCATCGTGGGCGCTAGAGTTCCAGGACAGGGACTTGGGCTTACCTCGGAGCATGGAGGCTAGCGGGGCTGTATGCAGACTGAAATCCTTAATGAAGCGACGATAGAAATGAGCAAACCCCAGAAATCTTTGAAGCTCCTTCACGGCCTGGGGAAGAGGCCACTCCTGCTGGAGAGGTGGAAGGTCGGATGAATCCCTGGTTAAGAGCCTCCTGGATGTATTCCTCCATAGCCTTGCGCTCCGGGATGGACAGAGGATAGACTCGAGCCTTGGGGAGTTTAGCTCCAGGCAGCAGGTCAATGGCACAGTCCCACGGCCGATGAGGTGGTAACAGAGTGCCAGCCTGCTTACTGAAGACATCCTGGAACGCCTCATAATCAGATGGAGCATGGAGGCTAGCGGGGCTGTATGCAGACTGAAATCCTTAATGAAGCGACGATAGAAATGAGCAAACCCCAGAAATCTTTGAAGCTCCTTCACGGCCTGGGGAAGAGGCCACTCCTTGACTGCAGTTACCTTCCCCTGGTCCATCTGAATACCCTCCTGGCCTATGATGTAGCCGAGGAACTGTATGGTGGGGTGATGGAACTCGCACTTCTCCAGCTTGAGGTAGAGATGGTGTTGGCGGAGCCTCTGGAGGACCTGCTTCACGTGGCGGCGGTGGTCGGCCGGGTTCCGGGAGTATATGAGAATATCATCGCTATATAGATGATAACGAAGTGGTGGAGGAACTCCTGGAACACCTCGTTCATAAAGCTTTGGAAGACGGACGGTGAGTTGGCTAGGCCATATGGCATAACGTAGTACTCATAGTGGCCAGAGGGGGTGATGAATGCAGTCTTCCGCAGGTTCCGCGCTCCGCAGGTCCAACTTGGAGAAGATGCGTGCCCCACGGAGTTCCTCAAGTGCGGCGGGGACTGAGAGGAAGTGGGTAAGGGAGTTTCACCGTCTGGGAGTTCAGAGCACGATAATCAATGAATGGTCGCAAGCCTCAGTCCTTTTTGCCCACGAAGAAGAAACTTGCCGCTGGAGAGGTGGAAGGTCGGATGAATCCCTGGTTAAGAGCCTCCTGGATGTATTCCTCCATAGCCTTGCGCTCCGGGATGGACAGAGGATAGACTCGAGCCTTGGGGAGTTTAGCTCCAGGCAGCAGGTCAATGGCACAGTCCCACGGCCGATGAGGTGGTAACAGAGTGCCAGCCTGCTTACTGAAGACATCCTGGAACGCCTCATAATCAGATGG